ATTATTTTCAAATTCTCCGGTAGCTATTTCTTGAGAATGATGACTGAATACTGAGAGACATACCACCCTATTTAGAGGCTTTTGCTTTTGTTCGAGAATCCGAATAAGTCTGACGTTATGTAGTTATATTGTAGCAGATGAACTCCCATGAATCCCGACATCTCCTCTCATACCGCATGTCTGCTCAAACCTGCACATCTAACAAAACTCCTTCTTCAAAGGTTCTATGGTACAACCACAGCGAAACATTACCTTTAGTGCACTACCCACTAGATCACATCGATAACTATTCTCTGACTACTTCACAGGGTCGGAGAAATCGCTATAAGAAGAGCACACTCTGTATAATGGCTACTTTTAATAAGGTTTAAAGTTGATTGGAGAATAGTAGATCGGTAGCCACTGATCTGAGCCGAACACAGCATGGCTCAAACAAACCGATATAGTAATTATATACAAGAATTTAAGAACACATGGTTTTATTGTTCTTTCTATTAAACGAGCATTCCGATTCAATAACAATAACAATTGCACAAACCGCTGAACCACGCTATTTGAAGAAAATATTGAGGATTGGTTAAACAACATTAAAACGCAAAACCGACTCGTCATACTTGCAAGATTCACGGTCATCGAGGTTTGGCTATGATCAATCATTATATACAAGTATTACTTGCGAAAAGTCTAGCCGAACTTCATTTTGTGTCTGCATATTAATACCGTCTGACATATAAACATATAGGACCGTCGAGGGAAAACCGGATCCCGGAATTGATTGTAGTTAATTCTTGGGAAAAAGTCTGCCCCCGCAAGTAGTAAAAGTATTATATTCGATAACTTTAGATTTCATATCGGTCAGAAAAAGAAATCCATGTCCCAAATGTTGTTATGTATTCGCCAACGCAGTAGTAATCTGAAAAAAAAACTCATTGATTCCATTATCCGGCTTTCTACTGGAGGTCAATCGTTTTCTATGGCATTTTATCGTATTTTCCGACGCGTAAATTGGGAAGCTGCGTAAATTAAAAGTAGTCTCTATATAGAAGCCGCTAATCTGAGATCTTTTCAGTTTTGTACCCGAATCCGCATTAAATATTAAAATTAGAATAAACTTTTTTCGAAGTGGATCGATCAATCTTAATTAAACTGGATCCAACTGTGTGGTAGATTAAGTTAAATGTCGCAAATTAAAAGTTGTATATATTCATATATATAAACCGCTAAACTGGGATCTTTTCAAATTCCAGCCGGTATTAAAAATTAATATTATGATGAACTTTTTTCAAATTGCATCGGTCAATATTATGAAACCTTGATCCAACGGTGTGGTAGGTTAGGTTAAATTAAGTTCCGTGAAGAGATCTTGAGGATCACACTTGCACTTGTTAGTCCAAATACTCGTATTGTATCGACAAAGCACTTAGAGCTTAACTTTGATTTCAGCCAATACGTTCGGTCGAGAAGAAGGCGTGAAGATTTATCTACCTCGCCTACTAACAGACAACGGTCTAGGGCATTTAATTACTATATACATCATGAAATCTTCTAGCGCTTTCTTTCGTTTCCTCTTCGCTTCTCATGGCAAAGATCTAAAGCACTTCTTTTGCTGAGCAGCAACTGTTCTATGTAAATTAAAGTAAATAGATAGCACCGTGACAAAATTTCTACTCGATTAAAAGCAACTTAAAAGCGATTTACTGAGCCCATACCTACAAAGAAACAGAAAATGATTTATGCGCTTTGTGCAAGGAGTGAAAGGAGCAAAAAGCAATTGCCGCTTTGACAATGATTTACATGCATAGTCTGGAATACATTGGGCTACTTTATTGTTATTTATATAAGATGTATGTAGTATGGTAACCCCTATAGCAAGGTATGAGCTTCTGTTGATGTGGTGTAGCCACTTATATTGGCCCTACTCACTAAATGAGACCTGTCTAAGCCACACAATTTGTCGATGAATCAGACGGCTGCTCGTTTGTAAATCAACGCTGGGTAGAGAGTGGCGTGGCATATACCTAGGCATCTAGAGGTAAGCGAATGTTACATTTTAGGGTTTTGCCTGTATATTTATATAATGTATTGTTGTTATTGTTATGCAGGTAACAACAACAAAAGCTTGCATGTTGCACAAATTGGTACATACAAACACTGAAATATCATAGTTTCAGTCCTTTGACAGGTTAGGCAACTTGGTCGCACAGTTCGCAGAATGAGATGATGTATTATGCGTTCAAAGACAAAGCTCATTAACAATGCAACAGTCAAGGGTCAAAACAGTAAACTGTGCTTTTTTCATTGGTAGGAGCAAAAGGACAACACCAAAAGGTATCAATAGACGATTACACTCCAAAATCGTATTCGGAAATGAGGAATGGAAGATACGGAATGAACGGAATTGATGGACTCAATCGATTGCTGTACCCAATGTCATTATCTTATTTTCCTACGTGTCCAATCGCTATCGGTAGTTTAATAGAGTTCTTAAATAAGAACCCCTTCTCTGTTAATTTTTACAAATTGCTGTGACGCCTGATTTCTACACGATCTTCTTATAGCATATTTTTGGGTTGTCGAAAAATTTAACAAATGCCTTTTTGGAGATCATTCTGTACAATTTTTGCAGTTCAGATTCATTACTTGGAGAATATTTCAACAATAGAACTCAGACGAATGGATTCAGACTTCAGAGAGACCTCCGCAGGCTTTAGAGTTTAATCCCGCAAAATTGTCGAATATTAAAGATTTCGGACGCTTGTAAAGAGTTCATCGGCTTATCGGTGAAATAAGTTTGTTACGTTGAACAATATCAAAGAGTTTCCAATGTCGAAACATCAGTTTTAATGCACAAGACACTGCTCGAAATAAAATAATAGGAGTTTATTACTTGTATGAGCGAAGTTAAGCCACTGTTTGTTTGCGAAAAAGTTCAATAAATGGCGAATTCAAAGATTATAGAAATCGCATAATTGTAGAGTATTGAAGTCCAACCGAAGAAACAATTAAGTTTGGAAAAAAAAGGGTTAGTTCTATACTTTTATTGACCTCTGAAACTTTACGTTTTATGGCACATATATAGTAGTATGAAGAAAAGGTAAGAAAAAGTAATGGGTCACAATTTCCTTCTATTGCTTGTACGAAGATGTATTAATCGTATGATACCCTTTTTTTCCGATCCTTCCAAGTATAACTCAATGTTCGGAAGGTTTAGGTGCCACGATGTTCCTCGCCATCGATTTCATGTTCCGTCCTTAGCGCATTCATTATATCGCTTCTCTATCATTGCTTGGTTATCTATAGTGGATGTTGCAGCAGTAGCGGAGGTATGTTCGAGCTTCTGAGGAGTAGGGAAGTGCATTTGAATAATTAAAGATCACTTTAGAAGCGCCTGAAAGTCTTATTTTATTAGTAAACCAAGCAGATTTTAGTCTTTTGTAGAGAGCTTATGAGCAAACGATGCCATTTTCTGGTAGCTGAACCGACTGAAATATGAACACTAAATTCACCACTTTCGAATACAATCTAGCAAGCTCAGATATATTTTGATTCAAGTCCAAAGGGTTGATTGAGAATTAAATTCACACACAACTATTTTTATATGAAATGTAGGTAATGCTTAATCAAAAAATATGCTTCAAGTTCAATGCGCCTGAAAGCTAAAATAAAGCAAAAGCTCACAAAAAAAGAACGAATATAATTTAACTGAGTAAGAAAATCAAAACAAGGAAGGACAACTTATATATTTAACACAGTGTGACGTTTACGTGTCTCAGCGTTGCGCCAAACGCAAGTTCCAGCGCCAATTATTAAAACTGGCGCGACAACTTGGCGGCAGACATCCAGCCATCAACGGCCCGGCTGGGAGATTCTGCAGTCGACTGTTAAAACGGCTTGTCCCCGGGCTTTAAGTACATACATCAAGCACGATAAACGCCAATACTCGTACATGACGAGTTTGTGTATGTGTGCGAGGGCAATAAGGATATGTTGTCAATCGGGTGTAGACTGGCGCCGCCTCTCGCAGGAGCATCTGTCGCTTTAACGAGTATGCGACGCTTCTACAACGTGATGCGGCAAACAATTGCTCGGTTTGGCTCGCGGTTGAGGAGACGCGTTAGCCAACTCTTGGCCACTGTGCTGTTATTGTTGTTTTTAGCTGATAACTTATACTTAGTGGTGGAAACCGCCGTATGGCTACGTGTGGAACGTAGACGATGCAACAATTGGATATTAGAATAGACGATGACGACATCGTCAGCCTGGTAGTCACTATACATGGCAGCCACGATTTGCCAGCAAACACATGAGGTCAAATTATGCGGCTGCTTTGTTTTCGCAGGACTTCGCCACGTTCATTGCACTTAACGGAATAAAGAATTGTCTGAACGTGTTGCACGAGATTGCAAAGATTAACTTTAGTTATTTCTAATTTAAAAGCGCCTTTCGGCTGCACTTAGTTGGGGGAATTATTTTGTGAATAGACAGAAAAACCTGGGTCATATTTTCTAGAGGTTTTGGTTTCATACCCGACAACCAGATTTTTAGGCGATGTTCTACGAACTACTCTAACGCTATGCACAAAGCTTCGAACTAAGTTTAAAGTAAAGAAAATTGCTATTTTTATTTAACAGGCTGACTGTCCAGTTCCGTGAGCAAGTGAGAAAAACGAGAACTTGTAAGTTTGAGATGCCTGAGACTGAATGAGAAAAGAAGATATTTGTTTGAGGAAGAATAAAACGTGCAGCTATAAACTCGATTTTCCCAAAAAACCACGGGTCTTTGGCTACTTCTAATGCTAGAAATTTGTGACATATTCGGTCAAAAGGTTTACGTGTCGAAAAAGGGGTTCAATATACAGAGGCGTTTCAAACTAGGAAAACCACAGCTCCAGAACTCAAGTGGGGACACTAACTGGGAATTCCCTGTTAAATGAAAGTGAAACGCTGTACTTCCACCCGTAGCCGTTCTAGGATAGGATGAGAAAAAAAGAACGAATGCAATATTGTTTTCGCACGTACTGATACAAGCTTCTAACGACTTGGGTCGGAGATGTTTGTAACCTTCTCACAAATATCTCTGACACAAATTTGAAGACTTGTAGTTAGAAAATTTTATTTAATTAATTTTTTTTTCTGTGAAAACACTCATATTTTACTTATTATATTGAAAAAAATATTTTTTTCTGGATAATTGCTTAATCCTCAGTTGCTGGTACATCAGTTGTTGGTACGTCAGTTGTTGTTGCATCCGTTGTTGATTCACTAGTTGTTATTGGCTCAGGCGCTGCCTTTAACCTTTCAGTAATAAGATTTATAGCAGTTTTGCTGATGATGGATCCAAGAAAAGACTGATCACAATTGCCGTCATCTTTACACTTTTGAGGCAAAAGTTCAGTGGCCACTTGTGTTGCTATATTAGATACCATAGTTGAGGCTTTATCCTTTACAGTTTCATGAACTGAATCTATTATATTTTTTATTGAATCTGTTGCTGTGTCAATAATAAATTGAAATCTTTGTTGTAAAAAAGGTCTAGCGCTGACACTTTGTATACCGTTATTGATGAATAAGGCTGGAAAGAGAATGTGTGAAATGTTTAGTTGTAAAAGTTTGTATAAAAAATTTCAAAAAAGGTCGCAAAGTGAAACGATTCCTTAGCACCTCTGTTTTACTGGAACTACGATATCACAAAACGTTTTTAAAAAAAATATAATCTTGAAAGAAAATTATTTTTCTGTACTCATGACAGTAGGACCAATCGCAAACTCCACTACAAACGCCTTTATTCCGGAAAGTTTAATAGCAGTTTTAGTCGGCTTGTTCGACGCAAACCAGCATAACAGCCAAGATAGGTACCGCCGTGCCTAAAAAACTGGAAGAAGGTATGATGTTTATCATGCCTTCGAAAAAACGGACCATTTACGCTCACTAGCAAAACATAAGATTTATGTGTTATTCTAAAGTATAGACCAGTATTTTCGCTAGATAACAGATAACCTCAATCAATATGACAATATGTCTGCACCAATTGAAGAAAAAGTTGTTTTCCTAGCTTGGATGTCTCCAAAGTTCTTCTTCCAGTAGCTACGATCTTCCAAAAGGAATTAAAATTAAATCTACGAACACAGCAGATCTTCTTCTTCTTAAGTTTGTTCCGTAGATACTCAATCGTGGAATATTTATTTTTAAATCACTTCGATCTGTACCAGCGTTCGTAACAAATAGTAATACCACAGAAAAACCTTTACAAATAGGCTTTATTTAAAAATTTTTCGATACTTGTATGCTAACGCCGTACTAACTCTAATGGGCACCAGCTCGACGAACTCTTATAAAAATCCCTTTAGATGTGCTCACAAAACCCAATACCTACCGCAGAGCAGCAAGGACGTGAAGGTGGTTTTCGATAACATTTTTCAGTAATGAACGCTTCCAAATACTAACAGATACTATTTAAAAAAGCTACCTCATTATCGGCTTTTATAACCTGAGCGGTTCAGTGACATTTCATAGGTTATTTTAGAGGTGAATTTTCGGAAAGGAAACTACTAAATACCTAATTTCTAAAAAGCTTTATTACAACCTGTACCTATATAATTCTAACAATAGCAAATCATAAGCGATCTGTGTCAATTGTTAACTCGTTAAACGTGTAGTCGCATAGTGTTTACCATAGTTTCAGACGGAACGTGTTGTCAGTAAAATTTTCAAACTGTTTAGTTGTTAAATAATTCAAAAGCAACCTGATCTAAATCGATCATAATCAGTATTGTAATTTTTATGTCCGCATATCCATTTGAGAGAGTAAAGATACCTCTTTGGTAATCAATAAGGAGAAGGCCCTTAGGGTACAGAGCGTTATCAAGCCAATTACTTGAAAGGTGGTTCCCGATTGGTTTGTAAGGTTCAGCTTGGGTGTCAGCGGTATCAACTCAGTAAACGTGCCGTTTCGACTGGGTCGGATCATAGAGAGAGCGGTGTTAGATGAGTGGGATTCATAAGACATTCAAACAGGTGGTAAGTGTGATGGTAGACGCATTTTACGCAGGACATATGACAGTCGGAGTCTTAATGCCATTCACTGTGCGCGGCCTGTTAAATTTTTCTTAACTAAGAATTTTGTCCTCGAATTAGTAGGGATGATTGACGATCGCTCAGATAGTTCATGGTCCACCTCTTCAGCCCTTCATGGAGTGTAGATTGTTCGAAGCTTTTGACAAGTCCAGCGCTAATAGGATCGTCCTCTCACAGGGTGGTTTTTCATTTAGGCCACGAACTATCGGGGCATTTATGACGCTAATTGGTTTGGTGGTGCTGTACACTTTCTGGAAGCCATGTTGATGGCCTATTGTTGTACATGTACGCTTCAGGTTCAGCCGTAAAACTTCTTTGAACATTTTTTTAGATTCATTCGCATTTAGGAGCATCACCAGAGTTTCAAGCTGTGCTGCTTTGTGTCAGCTATGATATATTATATGCCTTTATGGTTAACAGATACTTAATGTTTTATAAACATATATTCCACTTCCACATTTGTAGCTAAGGATGGAGGTTTGACAGCAGATCATGCAGGATGGCGCAGACATTAGCCTGACCTTTTGTGATATTTGGATTGAACTGGGCTGATATTAAGGCTTAAAATAAAGGCCATTAAATTATCGACAAATTTCAGAACCCCTAAAGTTTAACTGAATATCAAAAAAGAAGCAACAAGTTGATTACATACATATTTTTTTATTTATTTACGTTATTTACATATGTACATATGTATTAGGCTGACAATGTTTTGGATAACACATATAATTTGATGATTTTTAAATAAATTATGCTTTCTAGGTTTTCACAAAATTTCCGTTTTTAGACAAAGTGTTATGCCTGAGCTCTCGCAAATTCGTAATTCAGCGCCAATCTTCAAGCAAGAAAAAAGCTATACCAAGTGGATTCTTTCATACTCTTGCACATTGTATTTAACCTAACCAAAATCCCCAATAGTTATAGTCATTGTTATTATAATCAAGATAGTTCCAATAATTCTGAACACTTTTAGAACGACTAGATTGGGTAGATTTTGAAGAATCGCCATCTGTTTTCGAAGCAGACGTCTTCTCAGCAGATTTATTAGTTTGTTTGTTGATTTTAGAAATAAATTTCACCTTTTCTGCTTTTGAACTATCTTTGGACTCAGTTTCAGTGTCAGTTTCTGCTAGCGCAGAATCACCCTTTTTGCCAGACCTTCCATTCTCATTTCCAAGAGTTTTCTCATTTTCTACTTCAGAACAGTTGCTGTTTTCTCCAGACTCAACATTCACAACCTCAAAGATTTCATGCTTATTCTCATTACTTTCCTTTTTATCTTTTTTCGACGAATTATTTATCACAATCTTACGCCCTTCATTCTCGTTTCCATCAGCAGACAGTTTACCAGCAAGTAAACTTGCGATTAATTCTTTTGCTAAAATCGATCCTACAATCACAGTTGTTTGTGGTTGATTTATTACTACTGAGATTGGATCCGACAGGTTGGTTTTTGATTGTGCAAGATGCTTTCCACTAATTCTTTGTATATTGTTAACAAGGAGTATAACTGGAATAAAATTTTGTTTAAAATTTATCAATTAGAATTCTTTCTTTATTTTTAATCAGCTCTGGTAAGTGAAATAGTACTATGTGAGCTCTGATGTCTTGCTGGGAGCTTAACAACGTTTTAAGGACCTCTAAACAGCCTTCTTCTCCTCCGATGAAAGTTTTTGTAAAACTTTTTAGCTGTATTAGACTAACCAGAACACAAATTAAGTGATATCCCTTTAAGCACTCATCTGTCCTATTAGTTACCTTTCTGGTAATACTTCAACAGTAAATAAATTTACTCACCGGCAATAGTCAAAGACAAACATGTTGGTCCCGATAACATCTTGTTTGCCATCTCGTTAGTATAAATGACGGATATCTAACTGTTAAAAGTTAATAGTCTCGCGATCTCAAGGGGACTGATTTGTAAAGAACAGTAGAAGCATATATCTTCAAAAGAAGTATTTCTCTACTATAAAGTTTGGTTTTAACAATACCAATTCATTAGTGATCGACGTCTATTGTTCTCAAGTAACGTGTAGTTGCATAGCGAATTTATTTCAACGAGAAAAGAAAATACAAAACGCATGTTTATAACCTATAAGATAATAAAATATCAAAACTGATTGTAATCTGTTAACGGTTTCGTCGCATAATGAATATTAAATTCTTAAAAAATATTAATTTTATTTTAATTAATAAAAATATAATTTATACTCTCGCAACATCTCGCTACAGAGTATTATAGTTTTGTTGACTTAACGGTTGTGTGTAACACTTTAAACTAATCGAGATACATATAGAACTATATATATATAATTTGGATGATGACACGCGTTGAATCACGGATAACTATCTGTCCGTCCGTCCGTCCGTGCAAGCGATAAATTGAACAGAGGGACGTTGGGATTGCAGATGTCTAATCAAAAACCATAACTAAGCTACACAATACGATACAATACTGTTATTTAGGAATGAATGAGGGGCATTTTTAGTTTGAAACACTTTGAAAAAGTGGGCGTGGCTTCGCGCTCTAGAAGATTCAGTGTACATATCTTCCGAACCACTACAGTGAAAGCTACCAAATTTTTTAGGACATATCTTTTTAGTATCTTAGTGACTATGTAAAAATTGCTGAAGTCGGACAATAACCCCGACCCCCATTTAACCGGTATGTTGAAAACTACTAGAAGTGCGATAACTAAATAAATAAATGAATGTGAGAGACACTAAATTTTACATGCGAGATGGCTCGGAAGGGCTTCACAGGAGCCAGAATGAAAATTGGACAATGGGTGTGGCACCGCCAACTTTAAGTGATATCTTATATCTATAGCTCAAACAAGTTCAACCGAATTTGGTGCGTAACATTATCCTGACACTCCAATATTACGATATGAAAATGGGCGAAATGAAATCACAACCACGTCTACTTCTCATATAACACAATTTTAAATTCCATATGATTATTTCACTTTACAGTTTACAAATCAAGCAGCAATGAATATATCGATGTTAAATTTAGCCAAAACTGCTTTTACTGTATGCCATCACAGCCTAAAAATTGTGAAAACGTACCATAACGGTTCAAACCCGCAGATATTGAAGATGTGGATCCCAGCGCCTATGGGTGACTTTTTACAGTAAATATCGGTCTAGTTGTGAAATATATTATTTAAATGCTAGTAATAAATAATATGCATTTTATTTCTTATTAAAAAAAAAACACCCATTTTATGTATATCTACTGTGGAAAATTTTTAAGGAAGAAACATTTAAACCAGAAAAATATGTATATTTATGGTAATTAAATTGACAAATTATCTTTTCTTAATCTTAACCAACATATTTCTCATTAACTTAAAGTGCAGGAGGTATATAATATACGAGCATTTTTACTATTTAGTTCAAGATTCTATTCGACTAGGGCGATTACCTTGTTCTTCCTTTATTTTTCATCTCTTCTTACTTTACTTACCAACTGAAGATAAAAATAAATAATTTACTTAGCTTTTTGCTAAATTTATTTATTTACAACAATCATAATAATTATAATAACTCGATTCCGCAGCATCACACCGACTATAATAACAAGGTTCTGTATAGTCACTATCGCTAAAATAACTCGATTCTGTTGAATCACACGGACTATAATAACACCGTTCTGCAGAATCACACCGACTATGACAACCCCGTTCTGCAGGATCACACTGCTTATGACAAGACTGTTTTGCTGAACCACACCGCTTATAATAACAAGGTTCTGTAGAATCACTATCGCTAAAATAACTAGATTCTGTTGTTTGCTTTCCAAGTGACTTTCCACTAACTGTTGACATATAACCGGCAAGAAATAGAGCTGAAACGAAGAAAGTATAAAAATTTATATGTTAGAAGTGTAGTAGTAATGAACAGCAACTGAGTTTTATCCTTGTTCTCTTATTTGTTTCTCGAGCACTCTTAAACCGTAAACAACACTGGTTTAAAACACCTGTAAAACAGATCAACAGCTTTTATACGGTACTTTAACTAAACACCCTACAAATAATCGACTTCAAATTACTACAAAAACCTCTCATCAATATCTGTGACTTTTGCTCACTCTGAGAATGCGTGCTCTGAAAATCTAATGTTGGTTCGACAACCTTATGAAACTCATTTACTGAGAACCAACCAGCAGACATTTTAAGTAATATTTATCGACATGTCGCGGTTCTTCTTCCGGTTATGGTATCAATACTTGTACTCACCGCTAATCCTCAAACACAAACATGTATGCCTCGGTAACATCATAATTTTCTAAATTTAGTAGTAAATGATTTCAGAATAGCACGCAGTTAGGCCAGCAGCTGAGAACTGCTTTAAGTACTCTTATTGCGGGGATCTCAAGTTGACTGATTGGTAAAGGAAAGTAGAGGCACAAAGTTTCGAAATTTGTGTCGCTGAGTTCTTAAAGCTTTAAAATTAACAACACCAATTCATAACTGTTTTGCGCTTATTGCTAACTCAAGAAACGTGTAGTCGCATAGTGCTTGGTGTAAAATGAGACGTGATGTGAAATCTGATCTAAAAAGTGAACAATCGACTGACAACATAGTGTAATTTATAACCGCATATCTCTTTGAAAAAGTAGAGATACCTCCAAAAATATTCTGATTCTGAAAAATCTCATACAGGAAACCGTTGTAGTGAATACATCGAATCACCGATGGCATTGCTGTGAAAATTTCGGCTGCAAAATCAGCTGAAAAATTGGCGGCCTTAGGAGAATTTACCACAAGAACCTTAGGTCGTAGTGCGATAAACAGGGGACGGTGTATAAAATATCTGGGAGAGAAGGTTTCAAGACACCCTAAAAGAGGGTGTATGGCGCAGGGGCACGCGACCCATCAGCGGAATTTTCAACATCTACACGGACGGATCCAAAATGGCTGGGCTGGGATCTTATGCGATGCTAGATCTCTGGCGACCCTTCAAGCTGCCGGAATACTTCAGTGTCTTACAGGCAGATAACTTTGTGGTCAGAAAATCTGCTGTGATTGCTAATAACTCAAGAAATGACAAAAAGAACATCAATATATACGAGTACGTCGATAGTCAAGCGGCAATTAAAGCAATAATCTCACAGGATCACCAAGATCTGGGGAAAGAGAACAGAAGGAAAACACGCTTGCTTGTTACTCAAATAGTCTCGAAAACGGTAGGGTGCAGAACGGTTGTTGACCTCGTCACAGATCACAACTTGCTAGCTTCACATGCGAGCCGTATGGACATTATTAACGATGACGCATGTAGGCATGAGAAAGACGCTGGAACACATCTTCTGCTTCCGTCTGGCTTTATCTAGAATTCGGCTTAGGTATCTAGGAGCTTCGCGGTTCAAGGGACTTAATGAACTATGAGAATAAGATATCAAGTCTCTATCAAACTATGCAAACAGCGTTGACGTCCTGCACGACGTAAACTTCTGATCGTATTAAACTGAAACTCCAGCTGGCATTACAAAGTACCTGTAGATCTGTACATGGTGTGACAACGAGCCTGTTTAAGCCTAAGTTATCAATAGGAGCAGGAAATACCTTGAAGTTTTTAGACTGAAAGCAGGGTGGCGCTTTTTAAGGCACCTCAGGTACATAATGTTGTCGAGTCGGTTACTTGTAAGTGGTACAGTGATCTATAGGAACGCTTTAGGTACAGTCGTTGAACTTCTTTGAATAATTTTGGAATACCCAGTACTTTCTGAAGCTTTATCAGTCGACGGAGTTTCAAGCTGTACTATTTTCGGTTGGCTATGATGGATTAAGTGTCATGTATGGTTAACCTCAGGTACTTAATTTTTTTTTCTGACGGCAATGTCTTATTATTTAAGCTATAAGAAGTGCAGAGTTGTCTTCGTATTTATATATACCATATATTACACTTTTGTAGCCAGTAATGGAGATTTAACAGCAGCACATGCAGAATAGGGTAAACATTAACTTGGCTTCTTGCAGTGTTCTGAAACTAAATATGGTAATCGGGAGCTACACATATATACCTACATACCTATAATACAAAAATATTGATCTATGACAGTATTGTGGTGGATCATAACAATAAAATTATGGATGACCGTAAGAAAGGCAAGCGGCCGTCTAGGTATAAGTTTCGTAGTTATTGCTACGGTGTCGTAGCGAGTACTAAATCAGGCTGAGTTTTCTCCTTCATGGATCCAGAATTTCAATTTGACTTAGCTGTGATATCCAGGACTTATGAGGTTTAGATTTAAAAAAAAAAATCGCATAAAGTGACTGTAGTACCTTGTGGTATTTAGATTGGATTTGTATGATATCAATTCTTAAATTGAAGGCCTTTAAATGATTGACCAACAGGCTTCGGCACCCAGAAATTGAAAAACTTCAGAAATAGTGACAGTTACAAATGGCATGACTCGCAATGCTGCAAGTCAAATATGGTATATATAAAAGCAAGTCGAACTGACAAGCAACGCGAAGCGCAAAAAGAAGTAGAACGGAATCGATGGAATCGATATCAGCAAGATAGAAAATTACGTTTAACCCCTAACGAGCGGCATTCAATTATAACAAGGAGTTGATTACAGTTCCCAACAAAGCAAAGCAATTAAGTTTAAAATTGAAGCTCCTGGAATGTGTTGCCGAGGGGTCAAGTCAAATTGACGCTATTGGTACCACCATCACGGCTTCGTCATTTGAATAACAGGTTCCTTATTGACTAAAAACCCCTTTAGGACCACTGTCTAATAACTACAAAATTGTCATCAAAACTGATAGGATGCGTGCAGGACAACACGCGAGACGTTAACAAAGCTGCTGTTCTCTCTTCGATTCGCCATTTCTCTGCTCTTTATCTTTACGCGCTGCTCAACAAAAGTTACAAAGTTATCGAGTTCAATTATAATAGTTTATAGAAAAAATAACTAAGTTGCAGAAAAAACAATGCTACCTTATTCTAACAAAATTAATTGTTTCGGATGAATGTCCTTCTTAATGTATGTGCGTCATTGTTGCAACCAAAGGTCGTTCACATCAACATCTTCCAATTTAGACACAATAAAATCATTAATCATGGCTCTACATTGTTCCCCACTGTCTGTAAAATTATGACCGGCTTAATTTGTGAAGAAATAAGGCCATAGATCATACCAAAGAGTAACTTTTTGAGGAAGTAACAATGTCTCTACAATTTATTATGACTTATCATCACTCCAAATTCGACAATTTTGTTTATTAAAGTAGCAGTTCAACCAAAAGTTAGTTTCATCGCTGAACACAATTTTTTTGTGAAAATCGGGATCGGTTGCCATGTCATTTTGGGCCCATACACCGAACGTGCGACGATTTTTGTACAATTTGATTTTGTAAGCCCGCAAACTATGGTAAATTATTAGGATCACGAGACGAGTTAAATTTCGAATGATTGCCGGCTTGTCTGTCTGTCCGTCCGTGCAAGCGATAAATTGAGTAAAAATTGAGATACCGCCCACAGAATGGCACTAATCTAAAACGTATAAAGTGCTATAACTAAGCTCCACAATAGGATACAAAGCTGTTATATATTACACAGCAAATATTAAGGAGGAACAGTTTTGGTTAGAAACCCCTAATAGATTCAGTGTACATATCTTCCGAACCACTACAGTCAAAGCTACTAAAATTATTTAGGACACATCTTTTTGACATCGCCGTGACTGTGTAAAAATTGGTGAAATCGGATAATAACAACGGCCCCCATAAAACCGTTATGTGGAAACTACTAGAAGTGCGATAACTTAATAAATAAATGTGTGAGGGACGGAAAATATTACATCATTATGAAAATGGGCGAAATAAAATCACAACCGCACCCACTTACCTCATGATCAAATTTTAAAATCCATACGATTCTCTCACTTTCCCCTCGAATGGAGAATCACACTAAGACTGTTAAGTGTAGTCCTTTGTGAAGTCATACGAAATAACTCCTATAGCTATAGCAGCTATTGGCATAAATGCTCTGAACCTATCACAAATCTGCTACAATGTTTTAATAATATATTCTATTTCACCTGGATGTACAAAAATATGAGATCCAAAGTGTTTTTGTTTTGTTCCGGGACATTCGAGGAGGAAGTGTTGTGATTATTCTATCTCATATTCTTTCGAAGCTAAAGCAGCTGGCATCCGGTGAGATGTTCAATCTTACTACAACGGAGCTCCTACTCGTTCGCATTTTGCAGTTATTAAGACTGAGGTGCAAGCTCATTAGCCTTACAGTTTCCTGTAATTCCGCACCTAAACTAGTCTAATCGTTAAATAACTCGATGCTGAAGACAAGCAGTCTAGCCATCGTTTCACTAGTCTTGAGCGCACAGTCACCGAACTCAAGACTAATATCGCTGCCCTACTATCGGAGTGGATCGTCTTCACTCTAAAGGAGGCATCGCTCTGTTGCAGTATATTTACTGCAGTGGTCGGCATGAGAGAAACTACGAGAACGAAATTAAAGACACCCAGTCTCTTACCTTAAAGTTGATAAATCTTATTCATTCTTTTTTTAAAACAGTACTTTTCTGCTTCATGATATATTTTATACATTAACCGATTAAAATTAAAATATTAGACCCTAAAAGCTTTTATTTTATTGTCTCTAAGTAACGTAAACCACAAAATGTAATTCATAACAGCATAAAGCATTTATAATAACAAAAAATTTCGTGCAGGGCACATTTCCTTTAAAGGGTGAGGTTGATGTTTCGTCGCTTTATCGACAACGACTGAACATACAATACCCTAGCTCTTTCCTCGATGTTGGGTTTCCACGAGAGTTTCCTATCCTATTTACTAGTGAATAAAGCCAGCTCAGTCTTGCTAGGATTTATGGTGTTGCTGACCAGTTGCTTTGGGTGCTAAGGTACACCTGAGTTACCTCATACACGGTATACAGAATTTGAACATAAGATGCTTATGTTTCGATTCAACCCTAATCCTACTTAAAGCTCTAATAACTGTTTCCGGCAAGACGTTGTTGAATGCCTCCTCGATATCGATGAGAGTCTCCACTTGCTCCTTATGGTACTCTCCAGCAAGGAGAATGTGCAAGACTGTGTCCACTGGCCTTTGCAATAAGCATGCTGTGCAAATCAATAATTCTCTCAAAGGTTTTCAATAAGAAAGGGGAGAGACTGATGTGTCCTAACCTGCCTCCAAGCCCCAAGAATATATCCCAATATCATACAGTTCGCATAAGTGGATACAAACTAACTACACGAAAGCGTGGCTGCTCGATGCCATTGCGCTGGTATAATGCCATCCAGATCAGGGGCTTGAAAAGTTTACATGAGTTTATCGCCAATATCAATTCTCACCCTTTAAACACCCCCAGCCTTGCTGAGCTCTCTAGAGAAGCTTTATAAGCCATAGTGAAGATATCGACGCACTTATCCACCGCGTCAAAGTCGGATCTTCGATAAAAAATAAAAAAATTTATATTTGGAAACTTACTGGCTTTATTTTTAAGAATTTTGACTAAGCGTCCTTTCTTCTTCTATGTGTATTTTTATACTTACTGTGGAAAACTTTTAGGCAAAAACATTTAGATTAAAAAAATCTATAGATTTATATATTCTTCTTCTTAACAATCAGTGCCTTGTTCATCGTAAACTTCAAGCGCAGAAGGTATACAATATACATTTTATTAGCTTCTTCAAGATTATATGCGGCTTGGAAAATTACCTTGTCCATCTCTTTATATTACCATGTATTTCTCCTCTTATTTACCGTCCATCTTTATACTCTGAACAGGGTATATTAATATTGCAACGATGTTTGTAACACCCAGAAGCAAACGTGGAAAACCCTATAATATATATATAAGTATATATAAATGATCAGCATGACAAGCTGAGCCGATTTAGGCATGTCCGTCTAACTGTATATACGCGAGCTGTTCTCTCCAAGATGCGGCTCATTTGTCTGAAACGCCGATATAGGAACATTATAGCATATAGCTGCCATACAACCTGAACGATCGGAAACAAGTGCTTATAGGATAAACTTTTTCATTTAAGGAGATATCTTAACAAAATTCGGCATAAGCTATTGCTTAAGGCACAGATATAATCTCCAAGGAAATTGTTCAAATCGGACTACTATAGCATATAGCTGTCATACAAACTGGCCGATCTAACTCAAGATTTTTAACCCCTTTTATGCTACAAGAAATGCACTTGGGAAGCGCATTATAGCTTCGGTGCTCTCGAAATTAATGTATTTTCTTTTTTTTAGTAAATTGCATGAAAAGAAAGCTTTTTTGTTTCTGCTAAATTTATTTATTTACAACAGTTGTTTGCACGCGGTATCGTCTCGCAGCTCTCGCGAACTATGTTTGTTAGTATATTTCTTTGCAATTTCTCAGTAACTTGAAGAAGAATCTGAAGAATCACTAACGCTAGAATAACTCAATTCTGAAGAATCACTAACGCTAGAATAACTCAATTCTGAAGAATCACTAACGCTAGAATAGCTCGTTTCTGAAGAATCACCATTACTGGCGTAATTAGCTGCTGTGAAAGTGGGAGTTGGTTTCGTGTCAGTTGGCATCGTGTCTACATTAGCCGCATTTATGACAGTTAAATCATCCGTCCCATTTATCACAACTCTAGTATTGGAAATAATATTAGCAGAAATCTTTCCATCTTTTGACTTAAGAAGTATTTCATTTTGTGCTACAGCGGTATGTGATTGATTTATCTCATCGTTCAACGTATTCGGCGGTTGTGTTGTTAGATCTTCAAGTGAGTTTCCACTAACTGTTGACATATAACCGGCAAGAAGTAGAGCTGAAAGAAGAAAATATAAAAATGTATATATTAGAAGTGTAGTAGTAATGAGCAGCTACCGGGTTTTATCCTTATTCTCTTACTTATTTCTCGAGCACTTTTAAAATATAAGCAGCACTAGTTCAGAATACCTTTAAACCAGAACAACAGTTTTTGTACGGTTCCTCAACTAAACACCCGACAAATAATCGACTTCAAATCACTACAAAAACCTCTCATCAATACCTGTGAGCTTTTGGTCACTCTGGGAATGCGTGCTCTGAAAATCTGATGCTGGTTCGACATTCTTATGAAACTCATTTGTTGAGAACCAACCAGCAGACATTTTAAGTAATATTTATCGACATGTCGCGATTCTTCTTCAGGTTATGGCATCAATAATACAAGTACTCACCGCTAATCGTCAAACATAAACATGTAGGCCTCGGTAACATCATATTTTCTAAATTTAGTAGGACCCTCTGCAAATGATTTCACAATAGCACACAGTTAGGCAAGCAGCTGAGAACTGCTTTAAGTACGCTTATTGCGGGGATCTCAAGTTGACTGATTGGTAAAGGAAAGTAGAGGCACAAAGTTTCGAAATTTGTCTCGCTGAGTTCTTAAAGCTTTTAAATTAACAATACCAATTCATAACTGTTTTGCGTTCATTGCTAACTCAATAAACGTGTAGTCGCATAGTGTTTGGTTTAAAATAGGACGTGATGTCAATAAGATTTTCCAACTGTTGAGTTGTTAAATGATACAAAAGAATAAAAATAAATAGATCATAATCGATCCGACAATACAGAATATTTTTATGATCGCATATCCATTTAAAAGAGCAAATATATTTGTACCTGTAAAGTTTTTCTGCTTTTATAATTATTAAGGAACTTTTTACCAATATTGGCAGAAAAGACCTTGAAATTTTTGGATATACTAAAAGCAAGTGGGTGGCGCCTTTTAAAGCACCAAGGTTTTGTCACCGGTTATTTGAAAGTACCGCTAGACCGTATATGTGTTTCCTTTCTGTTTAAACGTTGAACTTCTTCGAAAACTTTTGGGATACGCAGAACTTCATCAATCCACGGAGTTTCCAGCTGCGCAGCTTTCTGTTGGCTATGATGAGAAGTGCCATGTATACTTAATCTCAGATACGTAATGTTTTTTCTCTGGTGCAATGTCTTATTATTTAATTAAAGAGTTGTTTGCCTATTTATATATATATGCCTTTTGAATGCTAAGAATGAAGATTTGACAGCAGATCTTGCAGAATGGCGCATAACTGACTTCTTGCTCTTGCCAAAAATGCAGTGTCATCTGCGTAGGTGACAGCAAGCGGGCCGAGGCGAGCCTATAACCGGAAGGGCTGCTGCGTAGAAAATATGGAAGGGTTACCCCAATAAAATTCCTTGTCAGATGCAACAATTTCCATTCCACAATGATCGATTATTTCTGTTCTCCTTGGAGTACAAAATTTTTTTTTGTAAAACTATGAAGTGTCTTCTGAAACTGCGTTTAGTGATTGAGAATTATATTTACGTTTTTACGCTGTGTTAATAATCTGTGCAAAAATTGTTTTCTTTGATAGTATTGATGGCCGGATGAGAGCAGTGCTGGATGATAAGGGTAGATCTATAGATGGGCGTAAGGAAGGCAAGCGCACATGCATCAGCAAGTACTAAAATCTGGGCATGAACTTTGGCTCCCTTTCTGGATTTCAATTTAACTTAACATTAACTTTTCGGGCTTCGGAAGTTTAGGTTCGATAGTTAAAAACCGAGAAGCTTCAGAAATAACGACAACTTTCACGGAATATATATATGTCGTATATATAAAGGGTGATCCAAGTAGAAGTTTTTTTCAATAGCCATTTATGACAAATCACGCGAGAATCGTGTTAAGCTGTCATATTATTTTTGTTCTGTATTGTTTGGCATTTTATCATGGAAAGACTTACGCCTGAGCAACGTTTATAAATTGTTCAACTTTATCACGAAAATTCACGTTCTGTACTATTCGCAACGCCATCATATTGGATAATATTCGACCAAATAGACTACTTTTAGCACGCAGTAAAGAAAATATAGCGGACGTAACTGAGAGTGCACATGAAGATCGTGGAGAGTCGATTCGGTGCCGTTCGCTGCAATTTGGACTAACGTACGGAACGACTTGGCGCATTTTAGGTCGAGATCTGAAATTGAAAGCGTACAAAATACAGCTTGTGCTAGAACTGAAGCCGCTCGACCTTCCCAAGCGACATCGCTTTGGTCTATGGGCTCTTAAAAAGTTCCAAGGAGATCTGACGTTTTCGAGCCAAATTTTGTTCAGCGATGAGACTCATTTTTGGTTCAATCGGTATGTAAATCAGCAAAATAGCCGCATTTGTGTCGAACAGCAACCTGAAGAGATTCAAGACCTGTCATTTCATCCAAAAAAAGTAACGGTTTGGTGTGTATTTTCTGGGGAATATGTAAAGTGTAAAGTCTATGCGGACAATACCGTTTCGATTCAAGTCTTGAAGCGAAACAGCACGCGTGTCCCTCGCCAGTTAAAAGGCTCGAACGAGTCATCGAAAATTAGACTCTACAGATGGACCATCTGAAACTCAGCTGCGGCCAACATTTGAAAAAGATAAGTTTTTAAAAATAAATGCCAAAGTATAATCTTTCAAATAATAATAAACATTCCCCATTAAATTTGAATTTTCTGATTTTTTTTAAAGTAGGGAACACCCAAATTGATCACCTAAAATAGTGCATTGGCAATGTCATTGAACACAAATCGTGGTTTCAATGAAGTACAGATATTTGCTGGAGTTTATCGGCATTGGAAAAATAAACAGGTTGTTTCTGAAATTTTTTTATTAATCATTCCAATTCTAAATCAATATTTATAGAATGTACTCGTATTGAGGTAATCATTTTTTAGGGTACACATAAAATTTGGTGCTTTTTAATATATATTTATATTGTGCTTAGTAGATTTTTACAAAAATCCGTTTTTGGTCAAATTGTTTTCGCTGAGCTCTCGCAAATGTTTATGCATCTTTTTCTTCTGATTCTGAATTATCAGCTGTTTCAGCAGCGCCACTCTCTGTTAATGATGAATCGCTATTTTCTGAAGACGAATCTGTTTCGTTTACATTATCTGCTTGAGAACAGTCGCCTGTGTCTCCACAGTCTCTTATCACCTTTACAACGGTTCCATCCTTATTTTGAAATTCCTTATCTGCTTCTTCTATCGAAGAGTCGTCAAGAGGCGTTCCACTAGTTCTTGGCATTATGCAGGCAAGTAGAAGAACTGGAATCAAAGAATATAGTGAATGTATCTATTAAAAGTTTGGTGGTAATGTGTTATATCCTTTGTGATTTCTGGTGCCCCCTTGAAAGAGAAATAGTACTATGTATATGAGCACTAATGACTGACTGAGAGCTTAACTTCATTTTAGGGAGCTCTAACACCCGTTGAAAGGTATTGTAATATTAGTTTTTCTCTATTTTACTTCAAACTAACCAGAAAACAAATTAAGTGATATCTCTTTAGGCACTCATTCGACCTATTAGTTGCTTTTCTGGAAATAATTCATAACAGAAAATAATTCTACTCACCGGCAAGCGTCAAAGGCAAAAATTTCGACCCTGGTAGCATCTTGTTTCGCAGAAGTAGTTGAATAGTAGGATGTCTAGCTTACACAAGTTGACAGTCTCACGATATCAAGGGTACTGATTTGTGAAGGACAGTAGAAGCATACATATGTATGTCTTACAAGTATTATATATATTTATTTCAGACGTTTCTAAAGCTTTGTGTTACTGAACAATTTTAACAATACCAATTCATAAACGCTCTGCGCCTATTGTTAGCAAGAAACGTGTAGTCGCATTACGAACACGTAATTGTATTCCGCACAATTAACATTTCCTTAATACCTGAGAGCTGGCGTGCTTAAAATCAAATGCGGAAAGGCACTTGATCCAGTGTAGCACTCGTTAGACCCTAGCACTAAAAACATTGTAGAATAATTGCTATTCGCAGAATCTTATTATTGATTCGTGAAGCACCCACTGTCAGTGACTGAGTCTGCAACACCAACCGCTCTTGAAACTTATTTGAAGACCTTGGTAGGACCAGTTCTGTCAATTCTTGAAATTACAAATGCAAAAGAGACAGAAATGGCAAAAAAAAAAGGTGGACTAGTGCGCTTTAAGTGACTAAAATAGTTAAAGAGTATTTTAATTGGGCTCATGCCCTTTTACGCAATGGCATGGACCATGTAACTCTTTTTTATACGCAAAGCTATTTTTAATCTTTTGCCCTAGTTACCATTCGGATTACACCCGATAACACTAAAATCTTTTTTTTTTTTAGCTGTAATGTAAGACTACCATCTAAGCCAGTTACAGTTTTAGATTCAATGAAGTTGAAATATTTATTCAGTGCTAACATTGCCATAATATACTTAATTCTACTAAAAATGTACTGATTGTGTATAGCAAAACCATATTTTTGGAAAAAATAGTAAATAAAGAGGTTAGTTCAGCGGTGTAAGCAGAAACAAATTTCAGGGGGTGGGGTTTTCTGCTCAAATTTGTCATCATGTTTAAAAGGCATGAGAAAGATAAAATAAGTAACTGCTGTCCAACGTGTATTTTTTTATTCAATAATATATTGCACTACGTCAAAATATATTTTCGTTTAAACTGAACTAAATTAATGCAAAAAGTGCCGATAAAACGACATCCAGTCTTCTGGCCTTTGAAGTCATAATGTTTAAACTTTCTTCGCTCGAAATATCAATATCTTGATGGATACTGAGAAGAGAGAGACCATTCAATCTGCCTTTGCTGGTCGCATTCCACAAATAAGTTTTCAGAGTGCGAAGAGTCGAAAACGAGCTTTTACTGGGAGCAGCTGATACTGGTAGAGTTGCTGCGATCTGTAGATATCGAAGGACAATTGGGTAAAACCTTTTGTCACAAATATTTAGAGTTTCAATAAATGAGTTTGGCACTTTCTCATCTAGTATCCTTAAGAAAGCTTATACTCTCGCAAAGTTTTGAGCCGAGAGAATAACTTTAACCCCTTTGAGAGCCAAGGTACACGTGTACTAAGTTTTATCAAGATATCTCAATTTTTACTCAAGTTATCGTTTTGATGCACGGAAAGCCGGATGGACGGACTGACAAACGGACAGACAGAAGGTCACACATATTTTAACTCGTCTTGCCATCCTGATCTTTTATATATGTATATGTATATATAACTCCATATATATCTTGATTTGAGCTGAACTCCATATCACCGTTAGGTGAACAAAACTATAATACTTTATAGCAAAATATCTCGAGAGTATACAAATAAGTCGAAAAGAAGTAATCTCGCAAGTATTTTTGCTGGTTACTTAACCGAAGGGGGAGGGCGTGCATGCTTTAACTAACAGCTTTAACCATGCGAAAACATAGTTCATCTCTACCAAATGTCAACTTCACATCACGCGGTACCCTCTGTTCCTTACGAACGAGTCTCCGACGACCGAGAAATGGCGGTAGAACTCTATTTACAGCAAGGAAGAAATGCCTATGCCCTTGCCAGTCTCGAGGCGACACTAGCAGCCCTGGATCTAGTCTCGGATGCAGAACGCTAATCTCATACTCATCTTAAACCTCTTGATTAGCGAAATCTATGGAACATATATAGAGTTGAGCGAACTTCCCATTTATTGATGAGTAGAAAGAGCTACAAGTTCTAGGTAGCATACGACTCTCTGATCGATATCTTAGAATTGGTAGAAATATTATTATAAATAAAAATGTCGGTGGTTATTTTCGTCTGTATATAAGCGAACTTGTGTCTCAGTTGTTTAGATATCGATCTGAAATTTTATTTTCTAACCAAGAAGCTGCTAGTTTGTCATAACCGCCGTTATCGAACAAGTGTAGTATATAGCTATTACACAAATTGTCCCATAAAATTCAAGACCTTATATGCAAAACTTTTTTATTTGACAAGATATCTTTACAAAATTTGGCCTGATTAGTCAAACCATTGCTACAATCTCCATAGAAATTATTCGAATCAAACCAATATATTATATAGCTGCCATACAAACTAATCGATTAAAATCAAGATGTATTTCATTTAAAACGCTTCAATGCTATAAAAAATGGGAAGGGTATAATAGCTTCGGTGCAGCTGAACTCAGTGTTTATTCTTGTTCCTTTTTTTCAAGTTTTGGTTTAACCGATTGTGGAAGCTGCAGTTAAGTTTAATTATCAAACAAAGCAGTCAAAGCTAATTAAAGATATTTTATTTACATACATACAAGCGTCTAGCTTGAATCAAAGATATAATACATCAGAGTGCTCATAATGATTTCCTATCCGATATAACTGTATAAAATTCATCTCCTAGAGATAATCTGTATTAGTCTCGTCGCTTTCTTCCATTATTACCTCTTTCGTATAATATTCTGAATCGCTTTTACTATCACTACAACTAGAGGAGGAACTATAAGCACTCGAACTACTTGAAGAATTACCGGGAGTCCTAGTTGTTTCACTATAATGACCTTCACCAGAAGATACTGGAAAGATCTCATATGTTATTGAATGAGATGTCTCCTCAGAAAATTGTCTTGCCATAATTTCAATATCATCTGTCGCCTTTTTCACTTGCAAACTATTATTTGTGACAGTTTTAGTGTCACTTGTCTCCTCCTCCGCTTGAGTAGAATCTCCATTTACTCTAAAGTTATTTATCACAAATTTAATGTTCTCCTCATTATTTCTCTCTGCAGACGTCTTTCTATAATTTGACTTTGACATCAGTTTTTTTGCAAACTCATCCCCTATTATCACTGTTGTTTCTGGTTTATTTATTACTACTTTCATTGCTGGTTGTGCAAAAGGCTTTCCATTTATTCTTAGCATATTGCCGGCAAGGAGTAAAACTATAAAGAAAAGAATACAAAATTGTATATATTATAAGCGTAGTAATAAATATGAGTAGTTAGATATTATGCTTAAATTCTTTTTGGTTTCTGGAGCACGCTTAGGAGTGGTGCAGTACTACGTTTAACATTTGTAAACCCGATCAACCAGTAACCCGACAGTGCTTGATGCATGCATGAAATGAAACCTCTCAATATGAGCTGATTTCTTGTGGACTGAACTGCGGTCACGTGTAATCTGAATATTCGATTACAATTCCGTTTTCATATCGAAGTCATCGCACCAAAGACTAACCAAGTGGCATTAGAAATGTTTCTCTAAACGCTCATCTAATCTATAAAAAGTTGTACATACTTACCAACAGTCGTCAAATACAAATATGTAGCTACCGGCGACATCTTGTTTGCTAAATTTTTAGTTTTAGTAGTTTATGCAAATGATTTAGCAAAAACACTCAGTTAGATAAGTAGCTGAGAACTATATTAGGTTACGATTTGTAGCGAACTTATATGGAGAATTTACTACCGTTTATTAAGCAGTGAGTTAAACTAGTCTACAGAATTTAGTATTGTGGTGGAACTGAGTTCTAAAAGAAAAGTCATTGAAAAGAGTCGGCAGAGAGAGAGTTACGAAATATTTGTGGTTCCACTTGCATTATTACGTTTTACGTTATTACACACGATTAGGCGTCCCAGGATATAGTTATAAGTCTTATATTTCTTCAAGTAGACAACACACTTGTGCCATCCTCACCGCATGACCTTTGACCCATCTTAGCTGGATATTAAACCTGCTTTGAACCTATTAGTTAGACTCGAACTAAACTATTATTGGGAAACATGAAAAAATATTACCTTCGGCTCCACCGAAATTCTAATTAATCCTCTGTACATAATACTAAGACTCAAAATAAACTGTTCTTTGGCATCAGCGGACAAAGGATCCCTCCTCAAATACTTTCAACTAAGTACCTTTTGTGAAGCAGAATCAAAGTAAAAATTATTTATAAAACAAGAAAACCCGTTTACTTCGGCTGAACTGAAACTCTAATAGCCTTCACAAGCGTATTTCTTAGTAGCTCGAATCGGTGGGACAGATGAGCATCTAAGATAAAAAAGGACGTGTACAAAATTTCAGAACGATATATCAAAAACTAAGAGACTAGTTCATGTATACTCGTATACAGACAGACGGAGAAACGGACATCGCTACATCGACTCAGCTCGTCACGCTGAACATTAATATATACACTTGTTGACTTCTGGGTATTATAAACTTCCTCGGCAGCTCAATATTTCCTGTTTAGGGTATAATCATGCTTATTTGCAATACAAATTGAATTCTAAATCTCTTCTATGCTTATTTCGGTGTTTCAGTGTAAAAGGAACAATAGGATCAACTATATGACTTGTCTTCTTTATTAAATGAGGACTGACGTGTTGTTGCATATAGCTCAAATTTTAATGGGGACGTGACCAAACAATGAACCATGAAAATCTTATAAATACTAAACGCTTTCGAATTATAGCTCTTTACTAACCCGATTAAAGCTTTGCCTTTATAATTTAAGTAACAAAAAGCCAAACACAAAGACTTCTTTTATTTGCAAAGCAAGCATTCTGTCGAGACGAGAATAGGAATAATGTAATTTTGACGAGCGAGTTCTTGGTTTCAATAAGTGTCTAGAATAATTTCTGACTGACAAAAAATAAACTCCGCGCAGTCTGTTATGAGATCTGTAAGTGAGCAACATAGTTCGGGTTCGACAATTCTGTTGTCTTCAAGCTGTATGATAGGTCACAAAAATGGATTTTGTCCTCGAAACCTGAAAACACTTAGTTCTCAGTACACGAACTTCTTGCAACGTCTTCAGACTGATTGCTAGTAGTGTCCTAACTATTAAATATCTGCAATAAATACCAGACACATTCCGTTAAAAATGGTTCGGCCGGTCCCCGAAAGACGTATTAGCTTATAAATGCTCAAAACACAATTTTATGGGTTTATCAAAATCTACTACAGAACTAGATCTTCTTGATGAAAACAGCTAGATCCGTCTGTTGGTTATAGGAAAAGGGGGTAAAAGTTTACGTAGGTATTGTGATGCTCGGCCCATCAGCAAGGCGTTCACCAGCTTCTTGCTATATTGAAACTATTTCGACAAGATTCTTCTGTATGGACGTCGGCCACTACAACAGCAAACAGCGTTCCTAATATGACATTGTTGTGAAAGGCCAATAACTCATTGTCCATTATTTATTTCTTAACTTTGCTGCAATTTTATTGTTAACTGTTACACAACTTTCTTAAAACACTTTCTTAAGTTATCCATTTCTTTGATTGCCTTCTGTATTATCTTCTGTCGCCATAAAGATTCGGTTTCCTCTATTTCCATTACGGCGTAACAAACCGTAAGTTAAATGTTTTTCCTTCCAAATTTAAAAAACGCGGTAGCCAAGAGTTGGTCGAACAAAGCTGTGAATGCTTCTAAAGTGAGAATAGTTAAGAAAATAAATTCTGACCACAAAAAGTTAGATAATTGATGTTCGCTTTCAACGTCATCTTTTATGAATAATTTCCAGACATAATTCTGGCAACGAATGCCCAATAAGCTTACTTGAATATGCTACGTATTAATTTTTATCAACAAAATAATTTACTGGCAATAAAAAAAGTAATTGTAATTTTCTTTGGTCTCTGACTACAATTACCTTTTTTCCGAATTCAGCGAATCCTATTGCTGTAAAGTACTAGAATTCTTAAAAATTTAGCCTATAGTCTTGTAAAAAGCATGCACACAAATAACTGATCAAGTCTCGTTAAGATGTGATTAGAAATTTACTCGATTAATGAACCGGTATTATTAACCGAAAAATTTAGAACTCAACCTAACGGTTAAACAGTAGAATAAACCCTTCGATGTTGAGGGATGGATTATCAGTAATGAGTTTTCTCTCCAATGCTTGAGGGATTTCGAAGATATTTGCATACTATGTTCAAGGTGCATGACGGAATGGAGAAGTAAGCACAAGCACAGTTGGACTGTGTGACGCCTACTTCGGAGATAAGACACAGCACTATACATATGGCCTCTACGATCTACAGCCAGTTGTAGATATTCCACAAACTTTTAAAATTCCAACAGCTCCTCATTCTATATATATAAGTATAAACCACACTTCGATCGTAGTACATAATGTCAAAATGAATTAAAACTCAATAACTTTAGGTGTGTCAATTATTTTTATTTACTCTTCTCTTACATCTGCATTAGTCTTACAACACTTGTGTGAAGTAAAACAGTGTGATATTCGAAGAAATTTTTATATTACCAATGGCATTCTATATTTGTATTCGATTCGTGTTTGGTTTTTGAGTGTTTTACATTGCATCTCTTTAAGTTCTTTGTAACAGATTTTAAAAAATTCTCGAAATTTAATACTTTTTCCATTGATCCATGCTTTTCTGATGATTCTTCTGTTTTCTGCGAATTATCTGTCTCCTCAGAAACTTTGCTGTCTCCACTTTTGCTTCCATTCTTCTCTGTCGAGTTATCCGTGTCCTTATCTTCATCGGTAACATCTTTTTCCTGTGAATTATCTGTCTCCTTAGAAACTTCGCTGTTTCCTTTACCATTCTTCTCTTCGAGTTATCAGTGTCCTTATCTTCATCAGTAACATCTTTTCCTGCGAATTATCTCTCCTCTGAAACTTTGCGGTCTTCTTTTGCTTCCATTCTTCTCGTCGAGTTATCAGTGTCCTTATCTTCATCGGTAACATCTTTTCCTGCGAATTATCTGTCTCCTCAGAAACTTTCTTTCCCTTTCTTCCATTCTTCTCTGTCGAGTTATCCGTGTCTATCTTCATCGGTAACATCTTTTCCTGTAATTATCTGTCTCCTTGAAACATCGCTGTTTCCACTTTCGCTATCATTCTTCTCTGTCGAGTTATCAGTGTCCTTATCTTCATCGGTAACATCTTTTCCTGCGAACTATCCGTCTTCTGCGAATTATCTGTCTCCTCAGAAACTTTGCTATTTCCACTTTCGCTATCAATCTTCTCGTCGAGTTATCAGTGTCCTTATTTTCATCGGTAACATCTTTTCCTGCAATTATCTGTCTCCTCTGAAACTTTGCTGTCTACTTTCGCTTCCATCTTTCCCTACCAGTTCTGGATTGCTTAAAGCAGTATTCTTTGGAATCGGCTGCATTGTAGTCTCCAACAGAATATTGTTAATGCTATTAGCTAGACCACTGATCAAATTCATCAGTTCTTTTCTGCAAAACTAACAAACCGTAAGTTAAATACATTCCATAGACGCTTGGCATTTCAGAGGCAAGAAGAAACGCTGCAAAGAAAAGTTTGAAACTTATTTCAATATAATTATTCCTTTACAAATTAGCCCATCGGTTAAGAAACAGTCTCTATCGAACTATGTAGTCGACTTCCAGCTTCCAATGCTCGGAGTCTTTAATACCTACCACGATGAAGAAGGATAAACATAGTGTTTTCGGCTTCATATTGTGTTTAGTTCACAGATGCAGATCAACTGTCAAACGTTAAGTATGTGTAGGTCTTATCAGAAACCAGTATATCCAGTCTACACTGTGTAAATAGTTTTTAATATGAGCTCATTTTTATATTTTACGTAACTTAATGTTACAAAACTAGGGAAAATTCTCATTAATACCTTATCAGTTTGTGGAATAGTATTGAAAATTCGGGTTAAGTTTGCTATTTTGTCAAATTATCGTCATTCCATGTAGTGAGTTTAAATATTGACACGTTTTCAGTCACCGCTTGAGCTTTACCTGTTACATAAATGTTAAAATTAGTCTGAGCTTTTCAAATTTCAATGTTGCCACATGGTAAAGGGTAAGCATAATTTTCAATCTGCACAACATCTTTGTGTTCGGCGCTGTGAATAATATGCTAGGCTCTACCGAATACTTTGAGATATCCTTGTTCAGTCTCTTTATTTTGTTCCAATATAGACCTCTCATTTTATCAATACAAATATTGAGCTTAACCCTTTTACCTATCCCTATGTTATTGAATGTATCTGAACATAATCCTCAGCCCCACTATACTTGATCGAGATTTCACGTTGTCAATGCAAATGAACGCAAATACGCAAACTTAAAGTTTTGAAACCACAAAGAAAGTTCAAAATACATACCTCTTTACTCAATATCTTGATAAAGTGTTACTGAAAGAATTTTGGTATTTCTCCTTAGCCTATTCTGGCTTGCTTTTCATTGCGATTTCCTCAGTTTGTAAATTTTGTGAACTAGTGTCATTTATACAATAGGTTCCAATACAATTACCTAGCTTATTTATTAATCACCACTAAACGTAAGTAAACAATGAGACGAAGTTGAACCTTATAAAAGAATCGGTTTATTGAAATTTCTTTGTTTTCAAGAGAGAAGAGTGCAGCAGCGGAAGAAAAGAAAATATACTTACTGTAGTCAAAAGT